AAGAGCTTGGGTAAAGGACTTGGTGCTGGGGGGCAGCAAGGAAGTGGGAACCCAGAACTTTCCATCTTCAGAGAGAAACTGCCAGTGCCTACCTTGCTATTCACAGCTTCCCAGTTTGAATCCAGAGCTGTGAAAATGTAGAAACTGTGAAAATATGAGCTGTGAACACTGGGAAGCTGTGAAGTGGGGAAATGGGTGGGGATTTACAATCTCTCTTGAGTTCAAAGGTTATAGATTTTGGTTGCAAACTTTCTCTGAGAAGAAAGCTTTTGTCACTGCAGCAGCAAAAGAAACAGCGGCCAAGGTTAGAAAATTATCTTGGCTGTAAAAACATTTCATTTCTTTGCTCATAACTTTCAGGCATTTTTCTATTTGAGGCAGAAGTTTTTCAGGCCTGGCCTCTGCCAAAAGCCAAATTTTGTTTGGGCAAAGCTGGGTGTCTTGTTTCAGAGCCTGGAAATGAAAGGCAATAATAATGATAAAACCCCAAAAAAGACTCTCATTTATTTTCTTTATTCTTTCAAATACAGCAGGGTGAAAGGTGATGTTTCATATAGGAATAGCCTTGATTTGAGAAGCTTTGCCTTTCATTGGCCCAGGGAAAATGGAGCTTGGTTCATCTGAATTACTGGCGCTGGGAGCTCCTATGCTGAGCTCTGGAGTGTTGGGAGCCTTTTGGCAGCCACAGTGAGGAAGGAGTCGCCTGTTCAATGGCTCTCTGAGAAACCCTTTTGACAGAGGGGAAGCCCACCATGGATTTAGCAGGTGACTTGCAGGAAGGTATCTCTGGCTGGTGTGCCTCCATTGCACAGTTTCTGAGGCTGGCAGAAACTCAAAACATTTGTGCGTTTTCAGCATGACTCCAGAAAATACATAACCATTTCTTGTGACTCGAGGTGGAAACCAATGCACCATTCCAGAGGGAAGCTGGCCCTCTGCAGAGTCACCTCAGCTGTTTGTGTACCTGGTCCCAGGGACAGGAGTGCAGCAGCTCTCCTGGACCAAGAAGAGCTTTATAGCTCCAGCGCTGGCTCCTCATAAGCCCTTTCCCGCCATTCCTACCATTCCCAAATCTAATGAAGCTACCTGATATGGTGCATGAACTCAGACATAAGTTAAACCTGTTGCTGCTGGAGAACTTGGTGTCAGCATTGCTTGGGGGCCTTGGGGATGTGTCCAGGATGCAACCTGGATGAATCTGTCTCCATCTGCTCATGCCCTGCTGGAGCTAATCTCTCTAATCATCCTTTGGGAGTCAGGGCAGACCCAGCAGTGGTAGACCAAGTCAGAGTTAATGAATCCAGATGGACCCACTTCTCACAGAAATACTGGGACAGCTTTATTATTAAAGGTTTCCAACCACTCACGTTACCCATGGGTCCCCTATCCACCATGGCTACAGATAGTGGGATGTTTCCCCTAGAATAAATAATTGCTAATACTTAAAATCAAGAAGGAGAGATGCCTGAACTGTGCTTCAGCAAGTTGTTTTAACCCAAGGCCCTGCATGTCCTTAATGTGTGTCAATGTCTAAAATCATAATCTGTGTCTAAATGCATTAAAAGGTTGGATATTAGTAGGCAGGGAGTGTTGAAAAGAAGATGTGGGTTTAACTGCAGAAATCTGTGCCAACTGTACAAGCAGCGCTGGGTAGAACCAGTGCAGTTAGCACAAGCTTCTGTGCATTCCACTTGACAAACCCCACTTCTTGGTGCTTTCTGATGCTGCAAAATGGGCATTTAAACTCCCTGCCAGGTCAGCCATTCCTCTCAAACACATTTACTTAACTGCTAATTAATTTTCCCTAGATAATGTGGATTATCTTTTTTTCCCCCTCAGTGTGTGAAATCTAGAAGAGTTTTCTTATAACCAGCCGCAGACAGGTTGACTGTAATTGGTGTTCTCTCATTTAGGTGAGAAGTAACAGTTCGTCAGCTCTTAATTAGCCTGGACTTTTTCGAGAGCAGTTTCCAATTTTTCTGACAGGGAGATATACATCTTGTTTCTCCTGTAGCAGTACAAAGAAAGTCATTTTACCTTGAATTGATAAACAGGGCTGTGTTTGTTGGTGTTTCCTTCTTCATGCTGGTGAATTCCAAGTTGCGTGTTGTACCTGAATCGTTGAGCAATTTTTCACTTAGCATCACTTGTCGCAGAGAAAAGAACACTGATTATACAAGAGAGGGAGTTTGAGCTCAGTTTAATTAAGTTGTGAATGGGTAACCAGCAGCACTTGAAGTGATGCATTAAGATGCACAGCAGCTTTTAGGTATCTCAGCAGCAGTGGAGAAACTTTGTATGTTGTGTCTGTTGTAGGTGAATGCTATTTCTGATCATTGTGCAGGTAGGAAGGCTGAGGCAACAGAGCAATGAGACCACCTCAAATTAGTCAGACTGGAAAAAGTGTCCTGCCAGGACAAACCATCTGCCTGTTTTGTGAACCTCTTCCGGAGATGCCGCAGGGGAAGGTGACCATGCAACAAGAAGTGGTGAGGAGCTGGGGGCTGCTCAGCCCTGACACGGGTTTGCCCCACTGCGATCTCCTTAGCCGAGGCTCACTTGTGATGCTAGGGCAGGAGAGAAATGCAGGATGAGAAGTTCCCAAATAGTAGGTTGTCCTCTGGCAGTGTCTTACCTGTTGGTGGAGCACTCAGGAGATGTTTGGACAGAAATATTTGGAGATCCAAACTGCCAACCAGGTCAGGTTGAATAAGAATAACTTTCTTCCAGAAGTACTCTTTGAAATCACAGTTTTTATTCAAGCATTTTGGATAACCTGTTTTTATTTTCTGCGAAGACCTGGTTTGCTCACAATCTTTTAAAAGAACTTAAATTTTATACTACTAAGCAATACATGATTGTGGCTGGAGGAGGCCAGGTTATTCATGTTCAGCATCGGTTTGTTAAAATACTACAAGAAGTTTCAGTACTAGCAGCCTGTGGTGCAGATGCAGAGCATGGTTTCAGTTGCTCAGTCTGATTCTGGGTTTAAGCTTCATTTGAATCTGAGAAGCCAACAAGAGATAACTAATGCAAGAAAGCTTTTATGGCCCTTGCAGTCTGTGAATATAAACATGACCCATGGAAATAAGCTTTACTAGTTCTAGTGTTTTAGACTACAATTAAAGAAGTTGTAGTCAGTGCTGTTCCCTGGAAAAATACTTTGTTTCATAAAGCTTTGTACATGCAATATGCATATTTCAGAAGCTTTCTTTTTTAGCATAGTGAAGTTAATTTATATACTCAAATACATGCTGTTTTGTTTTAATTGAATAACGGTTTCCCTCCAACTAGAGCTTATCATACATCACCAGAGAAAAGTAATAGTAGTGTAGATTTAAAGAACAGTATAATCAGGTTTGCTGCAAAAAGGCCCTAAAAAGTACAAATGTAATTGAAATGAAAATTATTATTTAAGTCATTTTTCCTCTCACTGACTCAAATGATGATTCAAGTTGCTTATGTAAATCAATAAATTGAATCAGGCTGGTCCTGCTATGAGTTCCCCACTGTGCAGTCTCAGAGAGCCTGAAAGTAGCTGGCAGTCAAGAGGAAGGAAATACCCAAAGATGCTGGTAAGGGAGGAGATGAATCCACCGTCCTTATCCTGTTGTATGTAGCAAGAGAGTTGCATTTCTGTCACATCTGCGACCACTGAAGCTAAGGTGAAAACCATCTAGTTGTTCATACCTAAACAAAAGCAGGATGCAAACCTAAATAGGGAAGTGGGATGAGAACCTTTAGCATGGCAATGTCAGCCTCAGTTCAAAAACACTTCAGTTGCAACACTGTCTTTAAATACACAATAAGACGTGCCTGCTCCCATCTGGCACAGGCTTTATGGGCTGTGCCCTCCAAGCTAGGCTGTCTGTGATGACTAGGGTTGACAGAGGCATCTCTGTGAAGGGCTGGCACCATTACTGATGGCAGCCATGCTCCATCCATCTCACCAGGGCTTTGGAAATAACACCTTGGAAAATAAGCAGTGAGGCAGGAAAGAAAGGCAGCTCATACAAGGTGCAGTGATGTCTCTAAAGGCAGCTTCAAGTTGTGTGGTGGGTCACGGTGGGTTTGGGTCAGAGGGGACAACAGCTGGTCAAAGTAAGACCATGTCTTCTGGAACTAAATGTGCTGCATGGACTCTGCCTGCAGGGACATTGTCTTACAACACTGTGCTTTGTGCTTCAGATATGTGTGTTGTATTGGAGGCCTGCTGGCTTCCCAAATTATCAGTGCCTCAGCCAGTAATAGCAAAGGAAATTTGGGGCAGGGCAGAGGGGAAAGTTCCGTTTAAAAATTTAACAAGTTGCAGTCTTCTCCAGAAGAGCCCCCACTTTTGAGTGATGGCAAGAGCAGGAGACGCTGGAGGAATTCCAACCTTTCACGCATGAATGGAAGACTTCAGGTTATCTTCTAGATGAAATCTTTATCTTACTTCATTCTGGTGTGGGTGGTCATATTGATACACTAGCCTGACTCTAGCAGATGGACAGATGTCCATTGCCTGAGCGGCATCCAGGCATCTTTGTGGGTTTACAGAATTTTTAATGATGTTTAACAAGTGTGAACTTCTGTGATAGAAGTAGCTGGTTCTTGATTTGGGGTTGAGTGTCTCATAAAGTGCTGGCTGACAACTGTAGCAAGTTATGGTGCAAATAAGCTATGCCAGTTGATGCATTCTGTGAAGAAAACCTATGAGTAATGCTATAGCACCTTATGCATTCAGAGAAGAGCCTCAATTTTAGTTCTAGGTGAGGCCACAAAAAGAGGAAAGGGGCTCAGACCATGGCTCTCTGACAATGGCACTGTGGGGTTCTTCCTTCAATGTCCTTAGCTAAGGCTCAAGACTAAGAGTGTGGGTAAGGTTGGTTGGAGGAAAAGCTCTGTTAGGGCCCTTCTCTTTTCTCAGGGCACTCAGTTGTGCTGCCAAACAGCACAGCCTGTTGAATTCCTGCTCGTCCAATTGACACATCACCATCTCCTTTTTCTTCTCTGCTCAGGTTATTTCCAGGATTTGCTGAACAAGTCTGAAAAGGCCCTTTATGATGCTTTTCCAAGCCTGCATGGAGAATTGTACACTCAAAATGTGAAGGTCTTCAAGGACTTGTACAGCGAGCTACGCCGCTATTACCGGGGCTCCAACATCAACTTGGAAGAGGCCCTCAATGAGTTCTGGACACGCTTGCTGGAGAGACTCTTCAAGCTGATGAATCCCCAGTACCATATCACAGATGAATACCTGGACTGCATGGTGAAACACGCGGAGCAGCACAAACCCTTTGGGGAAGTTCCCAGGGACCTGAAGGTGAAGGCAACCCGAGCTTTCATTGCAGCACGCTCCTACGCACAGGGCTTTCTTGTGGGCAGTGACGTGGTCAAAAAGGTGTCTCAGGTATGTTGGGTTTCTTCCTTTTCCTTCATCCTCAGATTGGCAGGAGTCAGTCAACTACTGCTGTTGGGGAGATGGGGGGTTTATTTCCCCTGATGTTTTCATTACAAAGCAAGCAGGTATTTTTTGGTTTTATAAAACAAACTCCTTGAAGGTCACCCATCGGTGGAAGGGAGCAGCAGGCTTGGACTTCTGCAGGCACTGATAGTGTGAAAGAAGTAAGGTATAACTTGCCACAAATCAGTCTTTACCTCATTTTAACCTATGCAGCAAAGTGCCAAGGAGATGTCAGTCACCCAGGTTGTAAAGCTGTTCCATTGCCTGACTAGATTCCTCACCCTTCGCTGACAGGGAGGTGGCATGGCTTTAAATCACACTGCCTAATTTTCCTCCTTGATGGTGATATGATGTAGGGTGTGCAGAGCTGACTTGCCATGAGTATGCTGGGAATACGTGCAGAGAGATGCCTTTTAGCAGTCAGTGGTGGGATTGCTGTGTCTGTTTATGTAGCCATGTATATTTGTACAGCTTCTGTGTACAGAGAGGCTGAGTTTGTAGAGTGCATTGGGGTCTTCAGGGATGAAAGGTGCTATCTAAATGTAAATTAACATGACTGAATCCAGAATTCCAGGAGGAAGGAAGTTGTCTGTATTCTTTACTGCAGCCTTTCAAAGCTAGAAGGTGGTGATTGTCCTCAAACAAAATATTGAGGCTTTTCACATAGGTAGAGAGGAGAAAATCCATACTAACAAAAAACTACTTGCATACTGCATGTGGATATGGCAATCAGTAGGTGTGAGAATCAGTGTGATTAAACTGTGAAAGTAAAAATATGGAATCACGATTCATTTCCTTGGAAGGAAATGCATGGTAATGCATGGCACAGGAAAGCACTATTTGATGCAGCAAATGCAGATTTTGATCACAGGAATAAATGTGGTAAGAGTGACAAATGCTTTACTTTATCAATGTGGGACTGTAAAACTCTTCAGCTACTCAGAAGCCTTTGTACATCTCATTAACATCATGCTCCCCTGACATGACAGATAAAAGAGGATAATGATGTCATTTCAGGGGGACCAAAGTAAAATATTTTCTCTGAATGGCAGAGAGTTCCAGCTCCATGTGTGTGACTCTGCCTGTAGTAGAGTTTGGAGGGTAAAGCAGACTCTCAGGGCAACTGCAGTCATGTTTTCAGTGGAAGGAAGGACCTGAGATACCGGCATGCAGCATATTTTTCCCTCATCTTCATGTAGACTTCTGACCCAATGGATTTTGATTCCAGGCCCCCCTTTCTGAATTCTCTTCCTTCTGGCATTGCTTATCAAACGGGACGTGGGGTATATGACCAGTCATGGATCCTCCTGTTCCCTCTGCCTCCCCACAACCCATTCCTCCAGCATGGACAGTTTTCCAGGAGGGTCCCAGCCTCTCCTCTCTCCCACAAGAGCCCTCCCTGGGGTTGCAGTTAGGCCCATGTGTTGCTCTTGTAGCACAATGTGCATGAACTGAGTTGGGAAACTTTAGCAAAGCCTCCCTGAGAGGTGATTTTGTAACAAAGGCTGAAACTGGCCCATTTCCCCTCCTTGAGGAATGGGTTGGTACTTTGGGCAAGAGGGGTTGAGAATGCTGAGGTGGGAAATCCGTTTTATAGATGCCCTGGTAACCCTCAGTTGTGTCTACAATAAAAGCCCTGGTTTACCCACTCTCCTTTACCAGATGTGGATTTACACTAGTGCCAAATGGATGTGAAGTGCTAAACTCAGTCCACAACTGGTGCTTTGGTTTTAGTCATTTTTCCTGTTGCTTTATACTTACAACATTAGGAGAAGGCATATAAGACTTTTATTAAGATCAGACTGAGGTTCAACTTTTCTGTCTGCTGTTAGTCTTTTGAGGCGAAATTTCATACAAAGCAGAAGTGAGTGTTTTGGTCAGGAAGTGTGAGAAAGCCTATTTAAATGGGCACTTAGAATCATAGAATCATAGAATAGTTAGGGTTGGAAAGGAGCTTAAGATCATCGAGTTCCAACCCCCCTGCCATAGGCAGGGGCTTAGAAATAAATTACCTAGTTTGGGGCTCCTGAAAAATTCTATTACTTAGGATTCTTTTAATTTGCAAATCCCAGAAAAACTGCTCATCTCTGTTACAGCCCTCCTGGTTCTGGCTTTTTGGACACTTCCAGTTCGGTGTTTGTCACCTGTATTCTGCCACTGTTTCAGGTCCCCGTGCAGAGTCTCCATTCCTGGGCATTCCCAAGAAAACCTGCTGCTGTTTGCCTGATTTTCTGGCTGTGTTAAAATGGGGAAGAGCCTGCCCCAGCTGTGCTACAGGCAGGGATTTTGTAAAATTCCTTTAATCCCTGCTGCTGCTCAGCTGTGCCAAAGGGGCGATTTTTCCCCGCCTTCTGGCTTTGAGCAGCCCTTGGCCGGTGAGTGCACAGAGGTAGGAACGGGAGCAGTGTGGTGGGAGCAGGTGCTCTGCATCCTGCTAGGGATAAATAGTTTGAGGGCAGCTGGGGAGAGAGAAAATGGCAAAACCATTTTTCATCTTTACTGCCATCTTGGCTTTTAAGGCAAAGTCACCCTGACAGACTGCAGGCTCTGACACTGCGATCTAAATCTTTTCATGCCACAGCTGCTACCAGCGACCTGGCCTCACACTGACAGTGCTGAAAGTGCTGCCCGTCTGCACAGCGGCTGTAGGAGGGAGCCTGGGGCATACATGTGGCTTTTGCAGCCTGGGTTGTGGAGCAGAGCTGGGGATGGAGGCACAGGTTGGCACCCTGCCCTAGGACAAGTTTAGGGGTCACTGATGTGCCGTGCATGGGTGGGGGTGCTGGGGCAGCATCTCACTGTTCATGTTCACATTGTATGTTTCTGTAGCTGTTCTTTCAGCACAAATTGCAGGTTTTCATTTAAATTGCACAATGACAAGTGTGTTTCTGCGTCGTCTGCGTGAAGTAGCACCTGCTAAAACAGAGGCAGCCACAAAATCACTAGTGAGGATCCTTGGCTGGTTTTGTTATTTATTACTTACGTTATGATACTGCTAGACATCTAAGTCTCAGGTCAGGACTATCGCACATAATGCAGTGCGAACAGGTAGCAGAGGTAATGCTGTCTGCACAAGAGTACCCAGAAAGGGCAGTGAGGCTGTGCACAGGTCCTTTCTGGCCTCCTGCAGCGCAGTGCCATGCCCATGCTGCACCAACAGATCATATTGGCAACATCATGCTGGCAACCTATACCACCCTCACAGGGAAGGATTTCTTCCTAATGTCTAATCTCGGTCTCCCCTCTGTCAGTTTAAAGCCATTCCCCCTTCTCCTGTCACTCCGTGCACTTGTAGGAAGTCCCTCTCCAGATTTCTTGTAGGCCCCCTTTAGGCAGTGGAATGTTGGGGAGGAGATGGGGAGGAGACCTGCCCCATACATGTCAAAAGATGTCCAGAGTCCTTAAATTCCCATCAGAGACCTACAACCTGTGAATCTCAAATGAGAGTGCAGAAAATGTGAAGAAATAATGTTCCATTTCCAAAGGCAGAGAGAGGAGGTCTTTTCAAGTTAATCTTGGTTGTCAATAGGAAAGTGAATTATCAGAACAGACTTCCCTTTGCCTGATCTTTGTTGCTTCTTGCTCCTGAAATTTTAGCTTCCCCATGGTAGTGGGATTGATGGGAAGCCACACCAGCTATGTAAGCAAGAAGCACTTACTTAAATAATCAATTTTAATAGTTGTTTGCATTTCCTTTTCTGAGTAGATGTATTTCACTTTACCAATGAAGGGCATCTGTCAATACATTCTTATTTAAGCAATCCTATGTCTCACAATACCATTTAGCCTTTTTTTTAAACTTTATGTTGGTGTATGGTAAATGTCAGTTTCCTGTTATATAAAAAATATGAGTGATTTTTAAGCATGTGGTGGGTCAAGCTGCATTTGGATGGGAACTGAATTCCAATTCAAAAGGCCCCAAAACAGAATTTCTTTAGATATTTTTAATAGTGAATGTGCTGGACACATAGGGAGAATAATGTTTGTCTAAGCATGGCCCGCATTTCCAACAAGTCAGTAATATAATGAAGACTATGGTCATTCCTGATCCTCACATCCTTTAAGATTGCAGCCGTTTCTCATACCCTACTCTTTTCCATAGCTTGGAAGGACATAGTTGGCTTCTGTCTTTCAACTTCCAGTTGTTTTGGGGGTGAAATAGGCATAAAATTGATCTGACTGAATAAAATGAGGTGAAAAATGTAATCTTTGTCACTCTTTCATGACATCACTGTGCTAAAACAGCTCAAGTACAGTGAACTCCTGACCCGTGTGCTCAGTGACACATTTCCATCCTTTCAGTGGCTTATCTTTATTCAGAGCACCAGCAGCAAGTATATACAACCTTAAATAACATTTTATTTCATTTAAAAGATTTCACTTTTGTAGTAAAATTAAGCATTTATATAAATTGGCCTCATCTTGATCCTGAAAAGACAGGGTTAGTGTTTGTAAATAGATGTTATGAGAATGTTGTTCCGTGGCACTGGTGAGTGTCTGTATCCTCATATTACCATGTTTATTTCCTTTTCACTGGCTATTATCCTAGCTCTTGATTTGGACCTGTTCAGTTTTCACATGGCAGAAGTGTGTGTTCTTGTATTATACAGATGACTCAACGGCTTTGCCCTAAGGAGCCATAAGGTGCTGCAGTAAATTATCTCTCCATGTGGGAAAAGCTCTCATCTAGGACCTGCTCCCACCAAGGGCGGTAGCATTTTGCTTCAGGGAGATTGTCTCTGTGCTTGCATGGGATTTAGTGAGCCTCCCACCTTCAGACAGCAGCTACTTGTGCCTATAGGCAGCTCTGCTTGGTAAGATACCAAGGGCTGGGACATGCCTCTTCACGAGGTCAATGCCACCTCTGCTGAAGGGTCTCATATTTTCTTGGCAAGCTGTCCCTGGACAGTTTGTATGTGAGAGTGCATGGCTTAAAACATTTTACA